ACTAATTTATATTCCCACTCAGGAGTTTTACATTCTAATTAGGAATAAGATGCCTAGAGGTTAAAAAAGAAAAAAGAAATCCTTTGCTAGTTGCAAAATGACTAATAAACAATTAGCACTATAGGAATTCAGAGGAAAGAAATCACTTCCTCATACAGGGATGGCCCTGCAGGGAGGAGGTACCATTTTTACAGAGGGATGCAGGTGGCAAGGCATCATCCACTGTGGTCTCCTGAGGAAGGACCACGATTGAGGAGGGCTGGAAAGAGGGACTCACACAGTAACGCCAAGTTTTCTTCCTTCTCGTTTATGTATCACATAGACCAGCAACACTCTTATTCTCAGTGAATGGGTAACTCTTAAAATGTTAGAACCAAGAAATCAAACCTATTGAAAAATCTGCTCAATTTCTGGAAAGATTTTCCGATTTAAGTGTGGAGATTTTAGAAAGTAAGTTATGTTTCTTTTAAAACTCAATTTTTAATATTTTTTAGAGATTGAAAATTTTAATCTACATTCTTTACATTTGTTTCCTTGATTTGTTGTTGTTGTCATGTGCCGTGGAGTCGGTTCTGACTCTTAGTGACCTAAATCTTTACAGGAGCAGAAAGCCTCATCTTTCTCCAACAGAACAGCTGGTAGTTTCAAACTGCTGACCTTGCGGTTTGCAGCCCGATTTGTAACCACTACACTACCAGAGCTCCTTTTTTTGAATAGCAGTGAATTTTCACTAAAATTTCAATATTATTGAAGTCAGATTTCCCTATCATTGGCAATTTAGAATTATATTTGTATTGTATTGTGAAATTTTTCTGTATATTTTGTTGTTCATTAGTTCTCACCGTGACACACCAAAACCAAAACAAAACACCAAACCTTCTGCTGTCTAGTTGATTCTGACTCAGTTTACCTGTCGGACAGCATAGAACTACCCAGTAGGGTTTCCAAGATTATAATTTTCACAGAAACAGACTGTCATGTCTTTTTCCCATGGGATGGCTAGTGGATTTGAACTGCTGACCTTTTAGTTAACAGCCAAGCACTTAACCACTGCACTGTCACAGCCGACATTATTACGTCAGTCTCTTTTTACTTGGACTATTGGAAGATTTATAGCTCTAAACTTTTTCACTTTGGTTGTTTTTGTAGCAGTAGTGAAGCTTTTAGTATTCTGAACCATGCTCTTTAAAGATGTACTTTATTAAGCAATATATTGTGCTCTCTGAATGCTGAACAGTATTATGGTCATTTTTGACACTTGTCTCATAAATTTGTAGAATGTGGAAATGAGTTCAACACTTAAAAGACTCGCAGAAATAGTGATACGAAAGTAAAATGGAGAACTCAGACTCAGATTCTCTGCCCCGTAGTGGACTACTGCAGTCTCAGAAACCCTCTATTTGGTTACTATGAATCGGAACAGACTCAACAGCACACAACCACCTACCTGACAGTCATATTGAGGGCCACGTTATCTCCTTTGGCCCAGTGAAGGACATTTATTTCATGAAGAGAACTCTTCGGGCATATTCATTCTTCAAGCTGAGCTGTTACTGTCAGAATTTTGATTGACAGGGACAAGAGCCCCTTCTAGCACTTCCAGAAAACAATTTCAGAACCAATTAATTAGAACTCACTAGTACATTTAAGCTGTTAATATCTCTAAATACGAGACCTTAATGTTGTAAAGTGCTGTGAAGTCGTTTCTGACTCACGGCGACCCTTCATAGGCTTCCGAGAAACAGTTGGTGGGTTTGAGTCACCAACCTCTCGGTTCACAGTCCAGTGCTGATCCTAGAGCACCACACCAGGAGTCCTTAGTTGCGGTGGTTATGCGCCGTGAAGTCGGAACCAACTCATAGCAACCCTGTCTGTACAGGGTTTCTGAGGCTATAAATCTTTATGGGAACAGAAAGCCTCATCATTCTCCCACGGAGCAGCTAGTAGTTTTGAACTTCTGACCTTAAGGTTCGCAGCCCGATTTGTAACCACTACGCTACCAGAGCTCCTTAGTAAGTACTCTGTAAACTCCCAGTGAGGATTCCGGAGGTGGAGTCACAACTCGATGCCTAATTCATCAGGATATAAATGAAATACAGGCTTCTAGTGCCTCAACATTTGAAAGGCTTTTTCTGAAGGAACTAGATTGTGGCTATGTTTTGCTTTCTGTTTACTAATTGCTTTCTAGGTTCATTTCACTGTCGCCTTTTTGGGCAAATTACCTATCGAAAACCCATACTCTAGTTTAATAATTCATTTGCTAAATAAATGACCACTTACTTGCTATGTAAAGTAGTACAGACTGCCTTTCTAGAATTTGAATTCGTCTACAAAGCAGCAAAGCTGCTCATTGTAAAAGTATATGGGGTACGTAACTTTCCCATCTTCCTTTTATCATTGGCATCATCGGTTTCCTGCAGGGGATGTGGTGTGTAGGGGGAGCACATGAACAAAGGATGCATTAGTATAGCCCACTAATGAGGCTTTTTCTGATGACCTGTTCTCAGACACATTTGAAATACGGGCAAAAGTCAGTATTATACCAAATAAATCATATCTCTGCTGCCCAGTAGAATTGGGACAGGGCTGGTCAGACTCAAAAGCAGATTAAGGCTCAGTACTTTTTTTTTTTTAAAGTCCTTTCATACTGAAAATTATTTTGATCCTTTCCTGACTGAATTCCCATCGTAGAAAAGTCTTTCATGTTCATCTCTCCAGGCATCCTTTTTAAATGCAGTTACTTGTGAGTTTAAATAACCTCCTGGTGCCATTTATTTTGTTTGTCTTTCCTCCATTGGTGAGGACACTTCTGGAGGTGGACGGGGAATTATATTGCACAGTTGTACTTCAAACTCGTCATAAATGCATGTGCTGATTAGACACATTCACTTTGTCACCTAGGCAATCTTCTTAAAGAGTGACAGAATCCACTGTAGCCTGAGAATACCCCATGTGGTCAGAATGGTGATATGTTTTTTGCTGATTTTTACATATTTGAAAGGGAGTAGTTTATAGACAGACAGTAAACTAGTATGTACTAACCATTATTGTGTGCTCTCATTTATTTAATTGCATTTAATGCAGAGTAAATGATATAATCAGCGTCTTAGAATGTTTGTGGCCTGACCAAGTTCTGACAGTGTCTCTACTCTGAAGCCAGTGCTCTCTACCCAGATATAATCCCTTCAGTCAGTCTCCTCTTAACATTGGCTTGAATGAATCAACTCACATTGCTTTCAACAACCTGGCCTTGGGCTGACTTTAAAGTCATTCCTAACTGACATTAATAGTGTGTAATTTAAGACATGTCATTTAATTTTTCATATGGTGACATGAAGCTCCTGCTCCGCACACCAATAGTTTCCATGAAGAGTTGGTAGTAAAATGACAGACTTTTGTTACTGCTTGTAGTTCATTGTTATCTAGTTGGTTCCAACTCATGGCGACCCTGTATGGGGTTTCCAAGGAGTGGCTGGTGGGTTTGAAAAGCCAAACTTATGAGCAGTCCAATGCTTATCCTACAGCGCCACACCAGGATTCCTTAATAAACCCTTAAATGGTACCTATTTACCACAGTGGTACAACTGTGGCACTGTGGGTGAATGCACTGGACTGTAAAGTTGGTTTGATTAGCAAGATCGGTGGTTCAAGCTCACCAGCCACTCCTTGGAAACCCTATACAGGGTTGCTATGGGTCAGAACCAACTCGACAGTAGCTAACAACAACTGTCACTGCTAAAGAGCTCTAGTAGTATAGAGGTTACAAGTCAGGCTGCTGACCTCAAGGTTAGCAATTCGAAACTACCAGCCTTTCTCTGCAGGAGAAAGATGAGGCTTTCTGCTCCTGTAAAGATTTACAGCCTCGGAAAACTCTATACAGGATCACTATGAGTCAGAATCAACTCTTAGGCACACCACCACCACCACTCTCACTGCTAGTGGATAATTTGTTTGTAATTTTGCTTTAATCTCAAATTCAATCATTGAGTCATCTTTAAACTTTGTTATTTCAAAATGCTTTGACTATATTACTTTTTCTTCTCTTTTTAGTTTGTCAAATGATTTTCTCTACCTTCAGAAATGAACCTTATTTATCTGGTTTGTGTGTAAGGCATATGCAGAATACTGTAGGCACTTTGTTTGGGTAAGAAGCCCTTGGTGGTACTGTGTTCAGTGTTCAGCTGCTAATCAGAATGCTAGGGGCTTAAACTCGCCAGCACACTGCATGGGAGGAAGATACAGCAGTTTGTTTCTATAAAGGTTTACAGCGTCAAAAGCCTTGTGGGGCAGTTCTGTTCTGCCCTCCCTATAGGGTCTTTAGGAGTCGGCATCACCTCGATGGTAATTGGTTTAAGTCTGTGTGTGTCTAAATTCTATTTTACTTGTGATCTATGCATCAGAATTGAATGTAATGGAGATTCAAATCAGTACCTGGAGTATCCTAATGTTAGCCAATGGTAGACTGCTACCTCAAAGATACTTAAACTAACTTCAAATAGGGCAATTTGATGTGGTAGAGTGATCCCAGACTGGAAGCCATGTGGGGCCTCTCAGCAACATTAAATTGGAGATAATCCCAAACCCACTGCCATTTAGTTGATTCTAACTCATAGTGACCATATGTAGGGTTTTCAAGACTGTGAATCTTTACGAGAGCAGACAGCCTCATCTTTATCCTGCAGAGTAGCTGGTGGGTTTGAACCACCACTCTTGAAGTTAGCAGCCCAGCACCCAACCTACAGAGCTCCTTAATCATTCCATAGATTCCTTGAATTACCATGAGGATCAAAAGACACAAGGTAGGCAGTCAGCCTTGCGCTGTGTAAATACTTACGACACAGGTAACCTGATGTTCTTAAGGTTTCTTTCCCTCTTGCACAATAATAGTACTTTGACCTACTATGTGTTACTGATTATTTTATCTTTTATTTGTTTGATTTCCTAATGGTGAATTTAAGTATCTATCTTAAAAAATAAATCATTGGATTTCTTCCCACCAGTGATACCAAGAAGCAGCAAGGAATGAGGAAAAGGAACAACAGTGACGTAGAAGATGTGGGACTACCAAGTCATAACAGAAAGAAGACCAAGTGGGAGACCTTAGAGCCCTTGGATACTGGCCTATCTTTAGCAGAAGATGAAGAACTTGTGTTACATCTACTAAAAAGTCAAAGCTAACTGTTTCCTGCCTTTGACTTCTCCTTGAAACCCCAGGTCATATTATTGTGGACTAGAAGTTAGAAACAATTGCTTTTGGGCTGTTGGGTTTCACAAATTCCATATCCAAAGGACCCATTATCCAGACAGAAGCAATCATTTGTGTAAGCCACTTTCACAAGACATGCTTGCCCCATCACACAGTACCCTAAAGATTAAGATGGATGATAACATTTTCTGATTGCATTTTCCAGCATGTGCTCTGTTAGACCTTTTCCAAGGGTTCCTACACCTTGTCACTGGAAACACTTTGTTTTACTGTCAAGTTCTAAAGATCATGTTCCATTGTTGTTAGACATTCCCGTCATGCTTACCATTTCAAAATTTCTGTGTACTGTTAAATGAAAACTGCTCTCAATTTTGATGTATTTAATACCTCCAAAGACAGTATGATGGACCATCCCCTTAGAAAGAATGACTATTTTTGAATTGAAGTGGTAAAAAAATAAAGGTATTTCCTATAAAAGAAAGTATGAGTGTTTTCAAGGTGTCCAGTGGCAGAACAGTACCCTCAAGGGAAGGCCTTTTTGAGATTAAAATGGGTTGGCCAGTGCCTGAAACAGGGAACCCTTCATGTCAAGTTAGTCCTCTCAGGGATATCATGTCACTGACATTTCATATTCGTAGTGCTAGAAAATCCGAAGACCTTGTGCTCTTGTCCTCTTACTTAGACTGCATTAGCATTAGACCTTCTGTAAGAGTTTATCAGTAGGTGCACAGATCCACACTAAGAGCCAGCTTCTGATAATGAGGCAAAAGCAGAGCAAGAGAGATCTATCTCTTTTTGTTACAAATAACTCAGATTTTTCATAGAAAAAGAGCATGGTAAAGAAATCTCGGAGTTGGCATGACACCAGTGATTTTATCATAGATTTGTCAACACTGTCACTGTTTTCTCCGTTTCCTACTTTCCACTTCACATACAAACAAAAATAATTTTGGTAACAAGTACAAATCAATCCTGAATCCAAGAAAAGTGATTGATAGCATTATGCCTGGACATCCCACAAACACTTCCAGCTCAGCCTAAGTCTGTATCTGGCTCCCCAAAATGTCTCCTCCTGTATTCAAAATTGTCACTGTTGTTAAATGCCATCAAGTCAGTTCAGACTCATAGCAACCCTGTATAGGTTTTCCAAGGAATGGCTGGTGGGTTTGAACTGCCAACCTTACAGTTAGCAGACCTGTGCTTATCCTTCCACATCGCACAAGAACTCCAAACAATCATTTGTTGTTAAGTGCCATCAAGTCGACTCCTACTCATAGTGACCCTGTATAAGGTTTCTGAGAAGCAACCAGTGGGTTTGAACTGCTGATCTTTTGGTTCAAACCAACCTTATGGTCCATCATTGTTGTTGTTGTCGGATGCCATTGAGTTGATACCAACTCATAGCAACCCTGTACACAAAAGAATGAAACACTGCATAATCCTGGGCTAACTGCCCATTTGTTGCTATGCCTGAGCCCATCACTGTTGTCACTGTGTCAGTCCATCTCATCAGTGAGGTTGGCCCACAGTCAGGCAGTGTTTCGTTCTGCTGTGTATAAGGTTGCTATGAGTAGGTACTGACTCGATGGCACCTAACAACAACAACAACACTTTATCAAACATGATATCCTTCTCCAGGGACTGGTCCCTTCTGGTAATATGTCCGAAGTATAAGAGACGAAGTTTGGCCATCTTGGCCTCTAAGGAGCACTCTGGCTGCACTTCTTCCAACACAGATCTGTTGGTTCTTTTGCCAGCCCATGGCACTTTCAATATTCTCTTCCAACACTATAACTCAAAAGCATCAATTCTCTATGATCTTCCTTATTCACTGTCCAGCTTTTGCATGCATATGAGGTTATTGAAAATACCATGACTTGGGTCAGTCACACCTTAGTCCTCAAACTGACATCTTTGCTCTTCAGCACTTTGAAGAGGTCTTGTGCAGCAGATTTGCCTAATGCAATACATTGTTTGATTTCTTGACTGTTGCTTCCATCATTATTGTTGTTGAGTGCCATCGAGTCGATTCCAACCCATAGCAAACCTTTATAGGATTTCAAAGGAGCAGCTGGTGAGCTTGAACTACCCACCTTATAGTTCAAACGACTTTGCACTCTGACACATTAGCCCACAGACCCACACCAGGACTCCACTTCTGTCATTGTTGTTATGTGCCGTGGAGTTGGTTTTGACTCATAGTGACCCTGCTCAGGGTTTCCGAGGCTGTAAATCTTTACGGGAGGAGAAAGCCTCATCTCTCCCGCGCAACAGCTGGTTGTTTCAAACTGCTGACCCTGAGGTTAGCAGCCCGATTTGTAACCACTGTGCTACATGCTTCTGTCATTAGTGGTACCAGTATTCATCCTCTCATTGAAAACTCAAATTTTCTTCAGTGTTTCCCTTAACTCACACTTCACTTATTTGTACTATATTGATTTCTTTTCTAGGAAGATTCTCTTATTCATGTTTACACAGAAAGTTTTTGTTTTTAGACAGAAAGTTCAGACTCCCATCATGACCTTCCATTACAGGACTCTCCTATTTGATCAGTCTGCTTCAAAGTCTGACATTTCTTTTGTCTAACCTGCCCACCACCCTCAGAATTCTCTTAACACAGATCCAAGTATGGCCCTCCCTACCTGTTATCTTCCCATACAGTGCATATTATGTAACATTGTAGATCATTTATAAGCCTGTTACCCCTGTTATATGACAAGTTTCCTGAGACCAGAGGGACTGGGTTTTACCTACTCTGTGTATCTCCAAAGTGAAACACACACCTACCCTATAACGAGTTCTCAGCAAATGTTTGCTGAGTTAAATGTGCATAATAAAACAAGACAAATTTTAAAGAGCTGTTGAGACACTTTCCTCCATCACCTGTAGTAGGAGGCTTCACAAAGTTCATGGGAAAATCCCACTATCTTTTCATTCCATTTTCCCACCAACCTTTTGAAGCACCCTCAAAGAATGATGACTTCTGGTGAAAAATCTCTTGGCCTTGAGGGTTTGCAAAGGACATAAAATGCAAGAGTAAATAACCCAAAGGTGAATAGGGTAGAGGTGCAGCGAAGATCTCCATCAGCAATACCACAGAATACCAGGTGAAGCAGGTTCAGGGGAGAGCTCCAAAACTCTGAACCACATATGTAGGAATACTTAAAAAGTTTGAAGTCTTACAGCTGGTGGGACTTGTAGCAGAAGTAAGAAATCTCGTATTTCAGAATCTGCTGGGCTCAGCGGCCTGGAGCCAACAACTTGGGCAAGACCAAACGGGGGAGCAAGCAGACCCTCCACAAACTAATGCCCACAGGAACCTCGGAGCAAAGGTGACAGTATTCTTTGTTTGTTTTTGTTTGGTTCTGGTTTTTATTTTGGGGGGTGGGGGGTGGTATCTGTACATTGGCCTCTAGCTGTCTGCACACCTCCATTCTGGTGACTAGAGTGGGCACCTGAGCGAATAGACACTCCCCACCCCCACCACTGGAGGGCTCTTCCACCATGCATGTGCACAGATCATCTCAGCTTTTAAAGGAACAGGCAGCTCAAAATGGCCACAGCCAGCCCTGAACTGTTTATTAATAGGGCCAGAATGGGGTGTGGAGAGGGAGAGAGTTTAAAAACAAAACAGGCCTAAAATTAAATCCTGAGGTACAGCACACAAACCAACAGTGGCATCTTGAAATTTATCAGATGGCCTTGAATGCAAGAAAATGAAAGGATATCAAAATCATATTCATATTAGGCTACAGATTTTTATTTTTTCTCTCTCCTTTTTCTGCGATTAGAGACTACAGTATCCAATCTTTTTTATTTTATTTTATTTTTTTGCTGTTGCTGTTTTTTTGTTTTGTTTTGTTTTTGTTACCCCTTTTACCTCTAGGGGCTCTTTTGCTCCCTGTATTACCCAAGAAGAGACAGCAATTGCTGCCATACAGTCAGGATACAATCACACCCTATAAAGCCCCACAGTCCAGGCAAGAACCACCTGGAGGCCATACACAAGGGAGGCAAACAACACCTATGAAAGTTACTCTGAGTTAAGCAATAGAAAGAGTGAAAAGGGAAGGCCAACTCCTGATCACATCTACCTGGAGACAATCAGAAAGCATAAAAAATACCAAAACACATACTCAAATATTAAGGCCACAGCTAACCACTAAACATGTTCAAGAGGCTAAAACATGACCATATCAGCACATGTCCAGAAACAAGATAAAATATCTGAGACAAATGATCTAGAGATATACCTGGACTCCATTCAGGAAGGAGGGCAGGCCTTTGAAATGCCTGAGAAGGAATTCAGAAAAATGATTATAAAATCTTTCAAAACACTTTATAATGGAGTTGAGAAAAATAAGTCAGGAAAGCGCTACAGGAACAATCAAATTAATACAGTACC